ATAACATGCAAAAAGTTGACAATTTCCTCTGACAATTACAATTTTTCTGGCTTTCTAACTATGCAACAAGAACTGTTACAAATTCATCCAAGCTAGTCATTAACTTTCCTACAGGAATGATGTTGGTACTCTGAGTGAAACTGACATCTAACTGTTCAGAACAGAATGTTATGCAATATGTCATTTGATAGATGAAAACCTTGACTTTTTATTGGTTATGGGTAATATATAATGAAATGTAAGAGAAAACTATCAATGAATTCTGAAAGAGAGGATGTGACAGGTGGGTGTGGCAGGAGGTGTCTGATTGTCTATTTGATCACTCTGTAACCAAACAAAATTGAAGGCTATAAAAATTATGGTTTGTCTGAGCAATTACAATTTTATAGTGAGTAATTTACGTTTAATTTCGTAGTTACTGGAGGGGTGGTGGATAAAATAGATACCTAGAGAAAATGTGTCACACTAGGGGAAATTCAGGATTTTTTTAAATATTGTTTTATAGAATTAAGAACTTAAAACTTATATAGTATTAAAATATGGATTATTAGCTAAGATTTTATGCTTTATTAATTGGTATAATTGAATGTAAGACACTAAAACCTTGTGTCATATGCAGTAAAGTAAACCTGTGGTAATAGGATTAATATGCTACTAACTTTTCATATAGATTTTAATAAATAAGCAATATGCCCTTCTTCTATTCCCAGTTTAAATTTATTTGGATATCTTGTGTAATTCTTAAACAGAACCTGCTTAGTTTTGTTTAAAACCATAATGTATGTGTGATAGATAGTAATTAAAGTAATTGTGTGGATAATTTACAGTAGTTTACACTAGTGAGTTTGAACCATGGAGCTTAAATTTCAGATGTAAATATTTTGATAATATTAATCCTGTGTGCCTGGGTCAGGGGTCAAAAAGTGCAGACCTTTTACAGAATTACATTCAAAACTCAAACTAAAGTACAGTCGGGTATGTTAATAAACTTATAATCAAAATGTAGTTAATTAATCAAATTTTATAAGTTTTAATTTCTTAATTTAAAAAGGAAATATTTGAATATATTCTCAGTCTTTACTTCTCTGCATAATATGATGCCTCTCTGCTCTAAATTCTCCATTTTAGTTTTTCTTTTTTCCCTTATTTATAGTTTTCAAATAGCCCACTAATTAGAAACACCAACTACAGATATTGACAGGCCAAATTTAAAATAAGGACCTCCCATCTTCTTTATTTTCTTACATATAAATAAATTTGTTACACCCACCACAGAAGCTCCTCCCAACTCTTCATGCTTTTGAAATTACTTATTTACTTAAGATTACTTGTCAGTGATACGTTTGTATAACGAATAGAAAAGCCATTTTGTAAACTTTGTGATTATGACATCTGGATATTAATTTATTTTGGTAAAAGCCACCATTTTTCAAGTAGATTTTATTGAGCATACACCAAATTCAGGGCTTCAGTTTATAATGAAATTTTCATAGAGTATTTATGTGTTAGTTAGAAAGCTAGATAAATTATAAGAGTTTTTGATATTCTGTTTTACTGTTTAATTATTGGTTGTGTTTAAGATGAATTGATGTATGTGTTACTAGTTTTAGACTAGGACAAGCTAAGGACTTCAAACTTTAATAAACTTGAAAGCAACAGAAAACAATTCACTTCCAATTAATTATGCAAATTTTTCTATTAGTGTGCACATACTAAGAGCTCGGATTCAGATTATTTAAAAACACAATAACTTGAAAACTAATTCGATGACGAGGAACCCACTTTGAGACTAATAATGGCTGGAGACGGCTTAAATGGGTAATGAAG